ATCACGTAGAAAAACCTGCCTAATAAAGTTCCAGTCTACAGAAATTCTTCCTGACTATAGAACACGCGGAACCACACCCACATTGCTTGAACAATAACTTATAAAATATTTGCCGTACTGAATTGAAATGTCGCTACTAATTGTTCATGACTAATAAAATAGTCCTATAAAATATTATGACAAACAAATGTTGCCGTCACCGTAACTTAATTTTTGTCGTCGAGTAGAAAAACCTGCCTACATGAAGCCCCAGTCTACAGAAAGTATTCCTGACTATTGTACACGCAGAAACAACACACATGTTGCTTGAAAAATAACTTTTTAACTGGCTGTCGTACTGAATTGAAATGTCGTCTGTCAATTGGCCGTGCCTGGTAAAACAAGCCTATAAAATAGTATGACAAACAAATAATGTCATCATCAAAATGTAATGTTTGTCATCACGTAGAAAAACCTGCCTAATGAAGTCCCAGTATACAGAAATTCTTCCTGACTATTGTACACGCAGAAACAACACCTATATTGCTTGAACAATAACTTATTAACTGGCTGTCGTACTGAATTGAAATGTCATCTGTCAATTGGCCGTGCCTGGTAAAACAAGCCTATAAAATAGTATGACAAACAAATGTTGTCGTCACCTTCATTTAATTTTTGTCGCCACGTAGAAAAACCTGCCGAAATTAAGTTCCAGTCTACAGAAACTCTTCCTGACTGTTGAACACGCAGAAACAACAGTCAGGTTGCTTGAACAATAACTTATTAAATGCTTGTTGTACTGAATTAAAATGAAGCCCAGTCTACAGAAATTTTTCCTAACTATACATGTATATTAAACACGAAGAAACAACACTCACATTGCTTGAACGATAACCTATTAAAGATTTGTCGTACTGGATTGAAATATAGCCTAGTAATTGGTCATGATTCGCCAAACAAGCCTATAAATTAATGTTTAGACAAACAGATGTTGTCTAAAACAACAGACGAATATTGACATTAATAATGCTTTGCATTTTCCTTGAAAGAACTGTCAAAAAAGCACCCCCTCCAAAAAGAAAATCACTCAAAACGTAGAATAATTAAATGCGGCTTTTCGTGCAAGTGGCGGCCTTAATTGACTTAATTGGGTTGGGTTGCTTGGGTTTTGTACATATGTTAATTTGGTTGAGTTTATTTTTCTGCATTCAATAGGGGACGTTGAACAATAGAGGACAATAGGGCAGTCCCCAATTCCCGAAGGTCTCCAATCTCCGATCGTGTACAAAACATATGGGAGGTCTTCCTAAAAAGTTAGAGTACAAACAAAAAAGGGACAATAGGGGGTCCCCGATTGCAGGCAAATACACACTTGAGTGGGTTGGGTTGGGTTGTACTTGTTTACACATGCAAATTGTGGACAATGAACAAAAGAGGACTAATTATTGTCCACAATTGACCACAATTGACACAATTATAATGGGAGAAAAATAAAATATTTGGCTCTTTTTCGAAAAAAATTCGGACGCAAACTTGTTACCCTCATAATGTTTGCACCCAAAATAATACATGCATGTACAAAGGATTATTACTGTACATTTTTAATTCAAAGTTGGTCACGATTTTGTTTTCCTCGTTCAAGAAGATGGACGTTGCTAATAACCCTTTGAACCCTGAATTATATATGAGCGTTGACCTCCTGACCCTGCATTATTTACATATATTATCTCAGATTAACATATGTTTTGTTTTCAACTTACTTTGCGCTGTTAAGTGTAATCTATGTGTGTACACATGTCTATATCATTGAATAAAGCTTGTCTACTATGTACAGGGTATAAATCAATGTGAACACTACTTCCAAAATACTGTTTGGTTGGCGTAACCATGGAAACAGGGCCGATTCTGCCTCGTACCTTTTTGTTTTGATACAAATCTTTAGTGCTGCCGGAGCCAGAGGCCGAGTTGCCGCCTGGCCTAACATTACCGGTTGATGCTCTGCACCGTTGTTGTCATTCACCGCACTAACCATGCTAACGTCAGAATAGTCCGGTTCCCAGACCAAAAGATTCTGACTATTCCTGATGAATCTTAGGTCCGGTAGCCGCCGGTAATACAATGTATTACAATTTACGTCACGTGACTAAAACGGGAGGAATTCCTCCTTTTTCCGAAAATGTCCGAAGTTTGCCGAAGTCGTTTCGTCGACAATCGGATAGCGCCCGAGTATTTCCGAGTATATAATAGAGGTTTAATTAACTGCTAATTGCTTATTAATTTTATTTTAAATGAGTTGATAATTAATATTCATTGTTTTCATTTAGAAAACTTGAAATTCAACGACGATTTTGTGCATCAAATATACTCGGATCGCACGGGCGAAGTTTTTGCTGCGTCATGTACAATTTTGAAATTGACGACCGTTACCGAGATTTTCCAAAACTCGGTCTTCATTCGGCTCCGCCTGCTAACAGTGCTATTTGGTTCCCTAATTTTGAAGATTCCAGATCAACATTAATCACAGTTATGATAATACAATTTGATGTTTTTGTAAGATAACATTGAGTCAATGTTATCTTACAAAAACATCAAATTGTATTATCATAAGTGTATGATATTACGAAGCAAGTGATTTATTTAAAGATTTGATCAGAACATTAAAAGCTACAAGTGATAAAGCGAAATCGGAAACGATGCCGCGCTTTGAAAAAGGGCCATTAATGTCGTCATGTTTATTTTTAGCCACGGAGGCTGCCTGACCTACAATTTTAGACGTGAGCGTCGGGAATAATTGTCAGGTCTGGGAACCAGACTAACGTCAGAATCATCGGTAAAATCACTGTCAGATTCTCTTTCAAAATCAGCAGAATTACCGTAATCAGATGCATCCAAATCTTCATCATCGTCATCCAATATCTGCGCAAGTGTACTGGTGTCAGACATGCATTTGGCCGCCATTTTTCGTTTTTTCCCCGCTCAGATACAGTCGATAACTTCTCGAAGAGACGAAGAACACGTAGCCTAGTGCCCCGTAGACAAACTCTTTCATAACAACCATTCTGATTGGCTTAAACCCCCTCGATATGTCAAAGGTTATCTGACGTATTGGCGAAGCCGCTTTTGCAGCTTTTCGGGTTGACGCACTTTCACGGGAAGCCGCTTTAGCGGCATTTCGGGTTAATTTTCAAAAGTTAATATATTTGAGTTTTTCACAGAAAGTCGGGGATTTGTCGAAAGAACAGCAGCACTGTCGCCAGCTCTGGGTGTAGGGAGGGGAGTGCCGGGTAGGGGAGCACACCGCAAGAAAACACGATTGTAGTTAATTTTTATGATGATGGTTTTTGCCGATGGGGGGGGGGGGGGAGGACAGGTGCTCGCCGGGAAGGCCCCCCCCCCGGCGACGGGCCTGAAGAACAGTACTATATAGGTTGATCTACGACATGGTGGACGCATTTTTTTTTTTTGAATGGCACATCTGACGAAATATAGGAATGTGTCATAAATCGAATGAAAACCAATTGGATAGGCCTATTAATGCATCCAAACTATTGCGCAGACACCCGCTAATTTACAACAAACTTCACTTTTAAACATTATTTCTTTTCGTGTCATTTTATTAACGTTTTTATTTGAAATCAATTGGTCATTACAAGTAATTTCTCTTCTTCTACATCAAAGTCTTGCATATCAACTTATACCGAGGGGACAGCAAATATTGAGCATCACAATAATCAAAAGAGGGCGCCATTCAACATGGCTGCCCAGTTTCAAAGATTTTCTGTCAAGTTAACAATCACGACCCTCTTGCACCCTCCACCGATAACACTCTCGGCAAGTTTAATTGTACAGAAGAAATTGTAAAATCACACGAGGGCATTTTCCTGGAATAATAAAAACGAAAACTGTCAACTGTCGTTAACAATGATAGTTCGAACAAACCTGGCTCTGAATCCAGAACAGTGAATACATTATCCAACAGAGAGAAACAATGTATACAAAAAGACCCATATTAAAATGCCGACAAATGTACACAAAATACAGACAAAAAGACTCCAGAACCCTGATTTCCGCAGTAAACGTGTAAACTTACAAGTCAGTGGAGCTGATTATCATAGCTCATATTAGTTTTGAAACTTCCACACAATATACTCTTTAATTTGAGGGGTGAATGATATAAAATTTGATACGGTTAATGTATTCTTAACGAGTGTGTGGATACAAATCGACAACAAAAACCAAAGTCTTTCTATCGAGGCCACAAGGGGGAAAAAAGCCGAATTATTTCCCTCGTTGATAATATTTGAAGAGTTTATTTCAGAAACGCGACATATCCATAAGAAAAAGGAGGACATTTTGCACGGTTATAATGCAACTTTAAAATGGCGCATATCGCGTTTTGGAAAAAAAAATCTCTTCATTTTAAGTTGGATGCTTCCTACAGCAACGGGATATACCCAAATTATACGATACTAACAAAATATCTTAAGTGACATGAATTGGAGATGTGAAAGAAAGATGACGTCAGAAATAAACCGAATTATGGACGACGTCGCAAAGGAAGAAACTCGATCGGTTCATAAAATAATAATCCATAATAAAAAAGGCACAGCTGAGACGAAAAAGGACAACATTTCACGGCAAACTAGAGACGTCGAACAGTTACATGTACAAATAGTATAATGTTGGATAGTCGATGAACACGATTACCGCTCGTAAGCGTATTTGAACCATTAATTTTTCTCACTTCATGGTGTAGGAAAATGTGATGCGATCAAGCTAAATGAGTCGTGTGTCCGGAACTTTCATTTGGAGATTTAGGCCAAAATGGGGTCACTTCATCACATCACTTCATCACATCTCTTGGTGTTCCGACTTCCATAATTTGTAAATCAAAGATGGTACCAGCCACAACAGTAATGCTGAGATTGTGCTCTTTTCAAAACTGTACAGAAAAAAAAATGACCAGGGTGGACAAACAACTCATTTTAGCTTGATCGCATCACAAATATGAACGATTCATATCACAGGCTCCAAGGGAAGAAGAAAAACTTGTTTTGTTATTTATTCATCTCTGTAGTGATTTCTCGTGGTACTTGTTTCAAACTACGGTGAGTTTATCCTCATCAAACAAATCATTACAAGGACACGCTGGTGTAAGCGCAGATTTTACGTCACAATGGCGGGCAAGTCATATCAATCATAAAATAAATCTTACATAATATACATCAAAATAAACCTGCGTAGCTCACAAGGAATGTCGGTCGGCGTATGCACCTTTACGATTAGTAATCCATTATCATAGTCGAATAATTCCATATTAAACTGCCACAAAGTGATATTTCAGAGTGGAAAATGGCGTATATCTCAATATCTGTTCACCGCTGCGTGCATGCCTATTGAGGGCGTCCTTTCTCCTAGCAATTCAACACGACCCACCGTCCTTTTTTAATTATGGCAGATGCAACATGAGGGCGGTATTTGAAGTGGGTACAATTTGAGTAAATACAATAGAGTTTACTCACTCCAAAAAATAGCCGCCTCCCATTGCGCGTGCCATGCTTCAAAAAGGCTGTTGGGCAGGTATTTTACGTTTTACTGGTGTATAAGAAAAAAATCGTGAAAGTGTCTCTCATTTCTTGCCACTAGAGGGCGTCGGCATGCAAACAAAATGGTTCAGCATTCAGCAATTCAGATAGTCGAAGTCACATTGATTACTCTCATGATACCATAACACACAAAGCTATATCTCATCCACGACGAAACCCTCTATAAATTATATCCCGTAAAAACCCTAAGTTACTTTTTGTTCGACAAGCGGCCCAATCAGACTCAAAACATCAGGGCAATACACATTTCAATAATCAAATTATAATTTAAAGATACCACAAAACCAGAAGAAAACAAAATCGGTTGGCGAGGTCAAGATACAAAAAAGACGAATCATGTTAATAATACATCAGATATTCTTTACTGTAACTCGATACCATAAAACCACATATCAGTGAATGCAACTATTCTAATTCAGATAGAATCGGTTTGCCATACTACTGCTAGACTACAATGTACCAATCAATACGCTTATCAAGACGACGAAAGACCAAATATTTTACAAGAATCGGCAATTTTTTTTAAATCATCCATCCCATGTTTATATTTTTTTAACACCGCGACGACAAAAACGTTCCTGAGATAGTAGAAAAGAAAGTAAGATTTTCAAATCAAAATTTCCAAAAAATCTCTGTCGGTGAGATTCGACTTTCATTATCTCAGTTGTAGTGGACTTAATACGGTGGCCTGTAACAGACACAGAACTTGTTTGATTATCCTTCGGTCGAAAGCCTACACACAGTGAGCCTACAGGAATCCCGCCGATTCTCGTGTGTCAAGGCGAGATTTGGACTCAAGAGCAGCCTCTCGGATTCAAGAGTATCTCTGAGAACAATACAGTCAGCCTTTTTTAATTAACATGTCAGCCTCGTTTTGAACTGTTCAGCCTCGTTTTTAAACACTGGCAGATATTGAATGATGAATCCCCGTTGAACAATTGTATTTCTCTGCATCTTTCCACTTTGGCCGGTAAATATCACTTGCCAAACAAATCGACTCTTCATTATCGATTCTGAGTTTAGGAGCCCAACAGAAACGATGCCGAAGCAGGTACGTCACTTGCCCTATCATATAGCGGCATTAATAGACGTGTGTTGCACTTATGGCGTGTTCTGCATGTGCTCACCCGTCGATACGTAATAAGAGTTACACATTCCAGACTTCTCGAAACACTGGAGTTCACCTGCGCTGACCTGTACTTGCCTGACTGAAATCATGACGTCATCCACGACCTTTGACCTGGCGTCATCTCACTGTGGATACTTTGCTATGGAATGTTTGTATCGCAATCCTTCGTCCTGTGCGCGGGACATAACTTTCTGATCAATCGAAAGCTAGAGGATATTTTTGCCGATTTGAACAGAAACACAGAATATCTACAGTTCCTCCAACTTCACTGTCCCAAAAGCGAGATCAAACATTACCGTAGCAACGACAACCTCGACCTTTGAATGGGTCATAACAGCTGGCGATCGGTTCATGTTCTCGCTGCCGCATCAACCTCGTTTCCATTCCTCGGTTCAAAATCAACCTCCATCCCGAGTCTTGGATGAGCAGAGCTGTCTATAGGTGGTGACTACGTGTAGGCGACTTGTCAGGGTGGTGTCTACTGGATACGAGGCCAATATTGGGAGGAGTGGGAATCGCCGGAGTTTCCTCCTGGGACTTGCACAGGAACTGAGACTCCTGGGGAGATGAGACCTGAGAAGGAAAATGAAGAACAAAATATAACGAAAGTTAGGGTGATTCTATACACTACAGCCTCCTTCAACATTAAAAGTCGCTAAATTAACACCAAGAGTTATCTGGTGACATGAACTTTGAACTATTGCCATGACCTCTGAACTATTGCCTTGACCTCTGAAGTATTGCCATGTCCATTGAAGTATTGCCATGTCCATTGAAGTATTGTCATGACCATTGAAGTATTGCCATGAACATTGAAGTATTGCCTTGACCTCTGAGCTATATTGCCATGACCATTGAACTATTGCCATGACCATTGGACTATTGCCATGACCATTGAACTATTTCCATGAACTTTGAACTATTGCCATGACCTTTGAACTATTGTCATGACCTTTGAACTATTGTCATGACCATTGGACTATTGCCATGGACCACTGAACTATTGACATGACCTTTGAATCATAGCCATGCCCTTTGAACTGCTGCCAAGATCTTTGAAATAGTGCCACAACATTCAAATGGGCACAGTCTTTGAACTATTATTGACTTGACTCTAAACCACTAACATGATCTCTTGACCTTTGAACTCACTTGAGAATGCACCGTTGTTGCAAGCACTGTTCATGTGGTGGCTCTGCATATGGCCGTGGGTGGAGTGGGGCACGTGATGGGACTGCATGGCGTGATGCTGGCTGGGCGTGCCATAGAGTGACTCGTGGTGGTAGCCATGGGAAACCGATCCCATCATGCTCCGGTAACTTCCGGTATCCCTCGGTGGCTGTGGCACACAAACATGGGGAAATAAAGGTGTGATGTTAGAACATCAAACCTTCTCGAAACGTTTGTGATTATACTCTCAGCCCCAAGTCAGAATGACATCAACTCATTTGAGGTCTTAGATGACAGGCAGCCACTTTGAAAAAAAAAACTATTTAGCGAGATCAGACTCAGAGATATTTTAACCCTTGGTTACAAAGTACTACTCCATTAATATTTTTCATGTTTCAGAGTGGTACTATATACTTTAGTACACTGGGTATCTAGCCTACCCACCCAAACGGCAATGGTGCTGATGAGGGCGAAGATAACCTGATACCAACTAATATCTCAAAGATAGTCGCAGGCATTTTACAAAAGGGTTTGATTTTTTTTTTATCATTCCTTTATTAAGTACACAGTTAAAACTTTCAACTCACTTTGAATGTTTCCAATTTTAGCTTTAAGCGTCCCTCAGCAGGTAATTGAATCGCAACCATAGAAAATAATGTACTTCAATTTGGTACTGTTAACAATACTTTCTTATTTTCCTTTGCATCAATTTATATATGAGTTATTTTTTAATATAAAGTAATACACATTTTTATGTATGTGATCTATTTATATGAATAATATCTACACTAATCAAAGACTTAAGGGAAATGGAGATACCTCTCTTTTGATTTACGAAGTGTCAACTTTTTGAAAACGGATGAAACAGTTTTGACTATTAATGGCGTGGATTAGTTTCATACCAGCCTCGACTCCAGGGGCGCGTGCTCGTTCCTTACACTAACCCCTGGCTGTGATGATGACGTAAATGACGCTGAATGGCTACTCACAGCGTACTGCGCGCGCATTTCGAAGATTGCACGCTGGGCGCCCCCATAATGCGCTCGCGTGCTTTGCACGTAACGTCACGTACGAAAAAAAAAATTAGGATTCAAAAGTCGCGATGCCTGTACGATATGGATTATGTCAGCCGCGTTTTTCGCTAAAAAAAACCCCCTGTATCTGTGGTTGTAAAGGCACGAAAGGGGTACGTACATTTAATACGAATCTTTGCTAAATAACACAACGTCCAAACGTTGTGTTTGAAAGGATTGATTCTTCAAAATCACAACTTTTAACATTTTAAAGATGGCGTCGGCACGTAAAATGGATAAACTGCAGACCTAAATATAATGTGCCATATTTTGGCACATTTAAATTACACAATTCGAGGGGTAACGATGGCGCAAGGCATGATGGGAAACAACATGGCGCTGCAAGATCATACCCACGGGGCACGAGGTTGGTTTCATACCTGCACGTTCAGGTTGGGAGCGGTGGCCATACTGAAGCTGGGCACTGGCGGGAGGGCGCTGTAACTCTCAGCGGTGCGGGGCACCATGGGAGCGGAGGGCTGGGCAATGGGCTGGTACACGCTGATGTTGTTGGAGAAGCCGCCTAGGTTGCTGATGGGCAGGTGGCTGGAAGACTGGGGCGGGGCCTCGGTCTGCTGACGCCGCTGGTTGCGCAGTTTCTCCTCCCGGCGCCACTTGGCCCGGCGATTGGAGAACCACACCTGGAAAGATACCAACAATACACGCTTACTATAAAAACAAGTCAGTTCGGCATGGTGGTACATGTACTTTCCACTACTAGCACCCCTACGTCCCGGGTTCGAATCCCGGCAGGGCTGCATGCGGATGGGGCTTCAATCCTTGTCTGATTGTGGGAGGTTTCTTTTGAAATATAAATGTCGGTTCCCCCAAACTATGTGCTACATTGTATAATATTGGTTTTCAGTTGTTATTTGGAAAGCCATTTGTACAGGGTGAGTAAAAAAACGAAACCCAAATGTCGGGACCATTGTTTTAGTGAAGTTCTGCATGTAGCACTTTCAAAATCTAGGATATGAAAGCCCAATTCATAAGCTTTATTTTAGTACAAGAATCATTCAAATCACTCATGCAATTTTCAATTTACGGAATTTGAAACATAACCACCGTTTTAAAGTTCTGTCCACGGATCACAAAAAAAAATGTTCTTTCAGCAAAACGAAAACAAATCACATAGGGATGCGTGCGAATGGTTTTCGTGTTGCTGAAAGAACGCACACCTTGTTTTGTGATCCGTGGACAGAACTTTAGAGCGGGGTCATGTTTAAAACTTCGTAATTGAAAAGTACATGAGTGATTTGAATGATTCTTGTACCAAATGAAAGCTTATGAATTGGGATTTTATATCCAAGATTTTAAGAGTGCTACATGCAGAACTTCACTAAAACAATAGTCCCGACATCTGGCATTCGCTTTTTTTTTATGACTCACCCTGTAGACCTATAGTGCTTTAGTTTGCTTTTAGGAAATCCTTGGGCTTGTCTTTTATTTGTTTCTCAGTGTTGTTTTATTGTATGCCAACAAAACAAAGACAGAAAGAAATAAACTACCCAGACTATAAACTTGTCTTCATCGTCTTCCGTCTCTGGATTTCTACAGGTTTGCCCGTGTAATTGTGAGCAACACTAATACTTGGCGTCACAGCAAAAGAGACAACAGGATTAATTAACCGAGATACACCAACGGGAAGATACTTAGCAATATTCAAATGACAAGAGGTATGGGTGAAACAGAAGCAGGGATATCATCAAAAGCATTTTGAACAACAATTTTAATTTCGCAATTTGAATATTTGCAAGAAGATAACTAAAGCAGAAAAACCAAGAAAGGGATTGCGTGCCCCCCAAAATAAAAAAAATAAAAAAACAGTGTTATTAAGGTTGAAATGCATTAAGCCAGCAGCATTTTCAAGTCAAAATTTCAGCTGATTAAATCAACATTTCTGAACTCACAACAACAGAATTGTAAATTCCAATGTTCGTTTGTATTGGGCGCCGGTATGCAGCTATTATATAGACATTCTCTCAAATCCCCGACAGACTTAAAACAACTAACATCGATAACATATCTCGCACGAGCCTGAAAAGTGCCTCCTAGCCCACTGATCATTATCGAATTGTCTGACGAACTTGCCGCCGACATTCCAAACAGGTTGTATTGTATAATTGATGGCAGATATCGGCAGCTAGGTTGCAAGGTTGCCTCGGTATGGCCATAGCCTCGTTCAAAGATTGTTATCGACAAAGCAGACGGTCGCTGAACCCCGAACCATGGCGCTGATTGCACAAAATAAATGAAACACCTTTATGGTGTTGGTTTTTGTACAGATTCTGCCAACACAAGATCGCATACGCTGATTGTTGGTACAGGTAAAAAAAAACACTTTGAACTTCATCTTAAGAACGGTTAACAGGAACATATTTGAGGGGAGTCAGGTTGGCGTAGCGGTACTTTCCTCGCCTTCCACCGCTGTGACCCTGGTTCGCATACTGGGCCAACATGTGGATGGGGTTTTCAGTCCCTGCCCGATTCCGTTGGTTTTCCCCAGAATTTTCTTCTGGGGTTTTCCTCCCACCTCTAAAACTGTAATTTCTTCTCATTGTCTCCTCTCTACAGGTTTCTTCAGGCTTGCGAGCTACAGTGCCTAGGGCGTGTTTTGAGGAATCCTTGGTTTTATTACCAGAAATAAATAATAATAATAACCATCATAATAATTTTTCAGAAATATAATGGCACAAAATTTACGCTCTTCGATACTTAGTATAATTTCAAAATAGAAATGGAAAATGGGAATTTTGAAAATCAGGCTGAAAAGTAACTGCAACCGAAAGTGCTTCACTGACCTGTATCCTAGCTTCCGGTAGGTCAATCTTCTGTGCCAGGCGCTCTCGTGCAAAAACATCAGGATAGTGGGTTCGTTCAAATTCTGAAAGATATAACAAATGTATACAGGTTAAAACTTTATCAATTGTAACATTTCACGTGCTTAATTGGAGAAAAAAAAAAGGCCAACAAAGAATAGCACGACAAAAGGGTTGATTCCCATTCATGCGAAAGCAAAACAAATGTTTAGTTATAACTAAATTATTGCTTCATTTTTTAAGCTCGCAATGACCCTATTGTTTCGCTCTCAATTTTGAGCGAAGTACGAAGCATCCTTATACATGAATATTTGAGAAAAAAAACCATGAGAAAAAAAGTTGGACCTCGTAAAAAAACAACACACACACACCACACACCCAAGTGTGTATTTGCCTGAAATTGGAGACCCCCTATTGTTCCGCTTTTGTTTGTACTTAAACTTTTTAGGAAGACCTCCCATAATGTTTTGTACACATCGCCAAATTGGGGACCTTCGGGAGATTGGGGACCCTATTGTCCTCTATTGTTCAACGTCCCCTATTGAATGCAGAAACAAACTCACACACACCCACGTTTGTTTATGGTGTAAATGGTGATTTTCTTTCGTTCCTCTTTCCTTTTCCTTTGGTTTTGTACACGTTTTCCAACCGAGGAGTCCTCGATTCGGTTTCTGTCCTCGATTCACCGATGGTGTTGCAAGTGTGTGTCCTCGATTTACACAATAAACAAACGCACAAACACGAACACAAAAACACCCCAAACCACCTCCCATCAAAGCAAATTATATACGACTTTCATTAGACCTCCGCAGTAATAAAAAGAAAAGAAATAAAAAACACGAAGTAATGTTTAAACAGAGTAATTGGTCATTACTTTCAAATTACCAGTGAAAATATCACGAACAAAGGACTGGAATTCAGCCCAAAGCAGCGCCGATGTTTTTGGTAAAATTGCCAGCTTTTGTTACCAATAACACACCAATCAAGTTGTGTTTAGCGCTAATCAGCAGAGTTAGCTGAGAAGAGAACACCCTCCTCCGTTGTCGCTTAACAAATCTCTACGACCTTTTTTTCTTTTTTAGTTTTGAGGATTTTTTTTTTTAACAACGAAGGTTGAATGCATTAATTCTCAGTTTACAGACTGCGTCGTGAAAAGACAAACGGAAGTCGGACGGGCGAGAGAGAAACATGAAATGAGTTTGAGTAGACGACCACTCAAACTCTAATTTGTCCCGCGTTCGCTAGTAATAAAGTGCCTTCATCATTTGCAAAAACACAACCTTCAGATATTTAAGTCTGAATTAGGGAGACAGTTATTGAACTTGATTAAACAAAAACATTGCGAGTTTCCTTGGAGGATATTGTCCAATGGCGTTTCTGGACACCAGTCGGTGTTTCCAGCGTCAATTCGATTGTCAATAGATGCCTTTTTTTTCTTTTTGTATGTTTCTTTCCTTGTTTACAACCCCATTATCAAGGTGACTGTTATTTTAGAACAAAATAAACTGCAAAAGCGCAGTGTTTATCCAACAGCATAGGTTTTTGTCGTGTGTGTTTATTTTTTGGTTTTCATTTTGTGTATAAAAAATAACCGAAACAGCAAATAAAATAATAACTACAAGAAAAGACAACAAACCATTTCCATCACTCACTCAAGCACCACGAACAATGCTTATAATCTTCGAGTTCCGTTTTACATTTGACAAAATGTGCTTCTTGTACGTTTTAAAAGTATCAAACATTTTAGCCGGATTGAGTCAGCGTTTGAGAATCGAACTGTTGCAATTTTTTTTTTATTATGCATACAATTGACATTAGTATGAAATTCCGAATGACATCAAAAGCGGTTTTACATCCATAACGATTAATATTTAATGGTTTAAATTACGGACAGTTACATGCAATTGTTTAGCTTTTTAGTCATTTCTTGCGCTGGCCGTGGACTCGACCCACTTAAAAAAAGGGTACTTATCGATGAAGTGTGTGGCTTCGGTCCAATTAAGCACACAAAAGTTTCCATTAAACAATGCATGGCATTCCGTCTTTTTAGAAAAAAAAACACCGCTGAATCACTGAAGCGATTTAGCGGGGGAGTCAGGGCCGCGCTGGCCGGCTGGTAGGCTCTTCAGACGGTAGAGTATCGCTCGCCAGTCACGCTGCCTGGTAATTGATGAGGGAAAAGTCCGGGTTGGACTAGCACCGCACTGCCAGCGCGAACAAGCCGATTATCAACAATGGATTGGAAAGCGCTGAGCCGTTGTGGCTCTAAAACAGTGCATTAAATCATGGCCCACGCAGGCGCAATCAGAGTAAACAAGGAAGGTAATGTATCAGAACTTCTCAATTCATTAACAAACTCAATTCTGGGAATAAATTGGGTCAATACGGCTGAAGCAGTAACAGTTGAAAACAGGTTAATCGTTCGTGTTTTTTTTTTCGTAGTTGAAACTGATTGAATATTCAAGGCAAAATAAACTGTCGGCGAGTTTTCCAATGGGAAAGTGAAAACCTCAACAAAAACCCAGTACGTTAGACGTTTTTGGTCGGAAAATATGGAATCTTACTGTTAATATAATGCTATCGTGCTATCGTAAAGCAGCACTTAAAACAATAAAAATACCCAAACTACATTTCTTAATATTATTTATTTGAGGGTAACAGCTGATCATTTGGGGCCTTCACATTATATAGTTAAAAAAAACCACATCAAGATCAAGATACAAAGACAAGACCTGGACAATACGAGCACAAATAAGTAAAAAAAAATAAAAAATAATAATCTGAAGAACAATTGATTAATAAATAACACAAGAATGACTTCATTGCCCTGAAAACTGACAACCCCCATCCCAGCCGACCATAATATTCAAAGGAAGGACAAACAGACGAGATAAAAATGGAGTAATAACTCAAAGCGATGGAATTGCACATGAAAGAAATTAGAAATACACTGCAAAAACTGTAGTGTTAAATTTACACCATTGGTATCTATATAGGACCATCTGGTGTTAAATTTTACTGGTGTTGTCCTATATAGATACCGAATGGTGTTAAATTAAATAATAATAATAATAATAATAATAATACTGAGCATTTATATAGCGCTCTAACTGTCATAGAAAGTACCACAGCGCTTTACACAAAAATTGACGAAAATCCAAAAAAAAAACACACCAGAAAACAGAACAAGAAATATTAACACTAGAAATTAACACTACAGTTTTTGCAGTGTATACGTGCGCCCTGACCTCACCCCAAACAGTTAACATTTAAACTATCCATTGCATACAACGACTCGGGCAGAACAGAAGGTAAGCTATGACAAAATCAACCAAGACTTGTTTTTATATTGCTCTAGTCACAACCTTAAATCTACTGCAGGAGCACTCCCACATCCAAGGCTCTTTGTTTTGATTATTGTTTTTATACCTGCCCGATGAAAGCAACAGGACCATATAAAAACAAAATAAGTGTTGAACATGTGAAATGTAGAAAACACTGCTAGGGCTAAACGATGTCTGCTGTTCAGTCTTTAAAGAAAAAAGTCACATTTCGCAATCAAACGATTATTAAAGTTTTCCATCAAAAATGGATTTGTGAAAGACGCCAGTTGAAAATTGACTTGAGTTCAAATCTATGGATTTCAGCCGCAACTATTGCTTATAAGACGCTACACCAATTGGATATCATGATACCCACATGTGTACGGCTTATCAAAATATAAACCCAATCCAGCCGATGTGGCGGTAAAAACACCCCGCCAATTTACACCAAAATCCCGCTTTCCTTATTTCGCCAGGGATCAAAGGATCGACCACAATCTTCCCGCTTCAACCTTGATGTCCTATCTCCATCCGATTTATTTATTGTATTTTATCTGTCACCAATTTCGAGAGCTGCTTTACTTCGGGAGCCGTTCTGCCCGCGGTAAATTCCACCCGCGATCCCGAGATCGTCTGCTTCGCGCCAGTTTTAAGCGGGATTTCCTTTGGGCTGCGCTTTCGCGGAAGCGCAGCACTAAAAGATGTCCGGTGATTTTTCCTCGATATCCGTTCTTAAAATGCAGTGTCCCTGTCATTCTATGCCGTTTTCGTGACATTTCAAGAAGAGGGGACCAAATTATGTACCGAATTCGTGTATTAAATGCATAGGATCGTTTGCAATTATCCCAAATTAACCTAGCAATTTATTATCAAAATATTTAAATATTGAGATTAAAGATCGCACTGGTCAGGAACTAAAAACCACGGGAACATATTCCGTCTGGCTTGCGGTCATTTAGAAAGCAATATCAAGAAATGTAGGTGATCTCCAACGATTAGTCAATTGACAGATCGTTGGAAATAAAGAGTTCCATATTGACGAAACGTGTTTCGTGATCAAAAGGTTGTGCATGCGTGGTTTTCCAACTGTTTTCTCGAAAAGTGTAATATCCGCGGAGCTGAAACTTCAACAGGTTAGTTTTGAACATTTTTCGTTAGATTTTGAGTGGTGTTATTATTGAACAAAAAGTAAGAAAAAAACAAAATATCCTATATGCCTCTAAGCATCCAAATCTATTATCTTCTACGTGGGAAGCAACAATCGGAAGAAGTTGCTTCAAGAGGAGAAAGACAGAAGTTCAGAATCCTAAATTCTAAAACTTCAACAACAAAAATACCGCACGGGAAAATCCCAACCCAACGAATGGCAATGAGGTTTGAGACAAGTTCTCGAGAGAGAGAGAAAAAAAAGGAAAACAAGAATAAGGGATGAGAAAGTATATTGAAGTGAAGCGGTCAGAGCTAAACCCGACCTAGCTCATTCCTGGGTGAAGTTTGTATGCACAGTCGTAATTGCACTCATCCAATATATCAGCCGTCAAGCCAAGCGTACGGCCGCAGCTCGTTTTCCTGGCGGGAAAACTAATTGCACGCTGATCAAGAGGGACCTGGAGAAAGAAGGGGGGAAATGTATATATACACACACAGAGATGCCGCGCGCGCGCCCGAGCAACACCCATTGGCTATTCACATCTTCATTTCCAGTCTTCGCGCTTGGTTTGGCAGAATGCCAAGGTCACGGC